GAAATGAAATTGGAGTTCGTAATGGTGGTGTTGTCCTTAAATGAAAAGAAGAAAAAGTATCAAAAGAGAAGCTACTAGATTCCAACCATGTTGTTCGGACCACTAGTAGTTTGAATAAGTTATCCAGACAAGTAGTGCTTAGAATAACATGGCTAGAATCCATTTCCTTCCCCAACACCTCAAATTGTGCTCAATTCATTCTACTATAATTTGAATCACAAGAGTTGAAAAGCTTAAATACCAAAAATCCTAACCTTAAAGCTATTAATCTTCAACCTATGCATTTGTGGTTTTGCAATGATGTTGTTTTACGACATTGTTAACCAACTTCAAGCGTGTAACCAATAGTGCTAGGGTTAGGGCAACTATAGTAATGAAGTGCACGCAATTAGTTTTGGTAGAAACAGAATCGAGGGATGTGGGGGTGGTGTTTTTCTTAAACAAAAGGAATAAAAAAAGTATAAAAAGAGAACCTTCTCGATTTTAGTCATGTTATTTAGACCACTACCAGTCTAAATAAGTTGTTCCAATTGGTCCAAATAACATGGCAAGAATCTATATCCTTACTTGACAATTCAAACCATACTCGATTCATTCTACTCTCATTGAATCACAAAACTTGAAACGCTTTAATTCCAACGAGTCTAACCTTAAAACTAATAGTTTTAAGCCTATGTGCTTGTGGTTTTGTAATGATTTGATCTTACACTATCAATAACCAACTTTGGGCACATAATCGGCAGTGTAGGGGTTAGGGGCAACTAAAGTGGTGAAGTGCATGAAGTCAACTTTGGTAGAAACGGAATTAGGGCAATTGAAAGTGATGTTATCCTTAAACAACAATAATAAAAAAGCATGAGAGTACAGGGTCCTAGATTTTGGACATGTTATTCAAACCACTACTGGTTTGAAAAGTTGTCTGGATCGATAATGGTTTAAATAACATGGCCAAAATCCATTTCCTTACCTGATTCCTCAAACCGTGCTCGATTCATTCTACTCTCGTTGAATCATAGAGCTTGAAACATGTGAATTCTAATGAGTCTAACCTTAAAGTTAATAGTTTTAAACCTATACGTTAGTGGTTTTGCAATGATGTGGTCTTACACTATCGATAATCAACTTCGGGTGCAGAACCAACAGTGCAAGGGTTAGGGGCAACAAAAGTGGTGAACTGCATGAAGCTGACTTTGGTAGAAATGGAATTGAGGCATGGTGTTGTCCTTAAACAAAAAAACAAAAATAAAAAGTATCAAAGGAGAAGCTTCTAAACTCTAGCCAAGTTATTCAGACCACTACCTATCCAAATAAGTTGTCCAAACCAACAGTGGTCCAAATAACATGGTCAGAATCGATTTCCTTACCCAACACCTCAAACCATGCTTGATTTGTTCTACTTTTGTTTGAATCACAGGATTTGAAAGTCTTGAATACCAAAGAGTCTAATTTAAAGTTGATAAATCTTTAACCTACACATTTGTGGTTTGGCAATGATGTGGTTTTACACCACCATTAACCAACTTCAAGCATCTAACTGATAGTGCTAGGGTCAAGGGCAACTATAGTAATGAAGTGCACACAATTAGTTTTAGTAGAAACGAAATTTGGGTACTGGAGGGTGGTGTTGTCATTAAACCAAAAGAATAGAAAAGTACGATAAGAGAAGCTTTTAGATTATGGCCATGTTATTCATACCACTATTGGTCCGAATAAGGTGTCTCGATTAGATATGGTCTAAATAACATGGCCAAAATCCATTTACTTGCCTGATGCCTTAAACCATGCTCAATTCGTTCTACTCTCGTTGAATCACAAGACTTGAAATGCTTGAATTTCGATGAGTCTAACCTTAAAGTTAATAGTTTTAAGCCTACACGTTTATGGTTTTGTAATGATGTGGTCTTACGCTATCGATAACCAACTTCAGGTGCATAACTGACGATGTAGGGATTAAGAACAACTAAGTGATGAGGTGCACAAAGTCGGCTTTGGTAGAAATGAAATTGAAGCATGGGAGGGTGGTGTTGTCCTTAAACGACAAGAAGAAAAAGTATTAGAGAAAAAGCTTATAGATTCTAGTCACGTTATTCGAACCATTATCGGTCTGAATAAGTTGTCCAAACCAACAGTGCTTCGAATAACATGGTTAGAGTCCATTTCCTTGCCCAACGCCTCAAACCATGCTTGATTTGTTCTATTCTCGTTTGAATCATATGATTTGAAAGGCTTGAATACCAAAAAGCCTAACCTTAAAACTAATAATCTTAAGCCTATATATTTTTCGTTTTGTAATGACGTGCTCTTATGCCACTGTTAACCAAGTTCAAGTGCCTAATCAATGGTGCTGGGGTCAAGGGCAATTATAGTAGTGAATTGCACATAGCCAACTATAGTAGAAACATAATTATGGCAAAGCAAAGTGGTGTTGTCCTTAAACAAAATGAATAAAAAAGTATAAGAAAAGAAAATTTCAAATTCTGCCCATGTTATTCAAACCACTATCGATCCATATAAGTTATTTGTACCGACAATGGTCTAAATAACATGGCCAGAATCCATTTCCTTGCTTGACACCTTAAACCGTGTTTGATTCGTTCTACTCTCGTTAAATCACAAGACTTAAAATGTTTGAATTCAAATGAGTCTAACATTAAAATTAATAGTTTCAAGGCTATGAGTTGGTGGTTTTGCAATGATATGGTCTTATGCCATTGGTAACCAACTTTGGGTGTGTAATTGATGGTGCAAGGGTCAAGGGCAACTAAAGTGGTGAAGTGCATGAAGCTAGCTTTGGTAGAAACGGAATTGGGGGAATAAGAAGGTGGTGTTGTCCTTAGACAAAAAGAAGAAAAAGTATCAGAGGAGAAGCTTTTAGATTCTGGCCATGTTATTCGAACCACTACCAATTCGAATAAGTTGTTTTGACCAACAATGGTTCAAAAAACATTGCCAGAATCCCTTTCTTTGCCTGACACCTCAAGCTATACTTGATTCATTTTACCCTCATTTGAATGATAAGATTTGAAAGGCTTGAATACCAAATAGCCTAACTTTAAAACTAATAATTTTAAGCCTACGTATTTGTGGTTTTACAATGATAGGGTGTTACACCATCGTTAACCAACTTTTGGTGCACAACCAACGGTGCTAGGGTCAAGGGCAACTATAGTAGTGAAGTTCACGTAGCCGACTTTGGTAGAAGTGGAATTAGGGCACATGAGGGTGGTGTTGTCCTTAAACGAAAAGAATAAAAAAGTACGAGATGAGAAACTTCTAGATTCTGGCAATGTTATTTGTACCACTGTCGGTCCGAATAAGGTGTCTCAACTAGCTATGGTCCGAATAACATAGTTAGAATCAATTTCCTTACCTAACGCCTTAAACTATGCTCGATTCATTCTACTCTTATTGAATCATAAGACTTGAAACGCTTGAATTCCAATGAGTCTAATCTTAAAGCTAATAGTTTTAATCCTACGCGTTTATGGTTTTGTAATGATGTGGTCTTACGCTATCGGTAACCAACTTCGAGTGTATAACCAATGATGCAAGGGTCAAGAACAACTAAAGTGATGAAGTGCACAAAGTCGGCTTTGATAGAAACTAAATTGAGGCATAAAAGGGTGGTGTTGTCCTTAAACAAAAAGAAGAAAAAGTATTAGAGAAGAAGCTTCTAGATTCTAGTTATATTATTTAGACCATTACCAGTTCGAACAAGTTTTTAGAACGATAAGGGTTTGAATATTATTGTCAGGTCTTAAAATTGCTAAAATAAATATGAGAATCATAAATAAAAATTTTAAATTACATAAACTATAGTAAAATGATTATCTATTTAATTAACTATAAATAAACCTCTTATATAATTGTACATTATTCATCATAAGAATAATTTTTATACAACTGTAAAGTAATTATATAATACTATTTTTCAATATAATTCAAATATAAAACGTTATAACATTAGTTTATTATAAAGTAATTATACAAATATAAATACAAGAAATTTTCCTCTATACTTTTTTTATAACATTAAATTTTACACCATTTGTTTACAATTTTAAAACTATAACACAATATTATTTTTAAATATAATATTAATATAAAATATATTTAATAATATTAACATTATATTTAACATTATTAACTTATTATAAATTAATTACTTGAAATATAAACATAATACAAATTTCTATACATTTTTTATAACACCAAATTTTACACAATACTTACAATCAATTAATAAAATGATTCTATACAACAATTAAAAATATCTAACATAATATTTTATAATATTAATTTACTGCAAATTTTTTTTTTATCAGCAAAAGCAAATAGACTTTATATTACTCTCGGAGTATAAGGAATACTCCACCCCAAAATACAAAACAATTCAACCACAACTCAAACGGAAAAGAAAAAATCAAAATTGCAAAAGAAGCAGTTGTCCAATAGCTAAATACATTTAGGAACTATGCATCTTCTTGTATTTCTTCGAATTTTGATGATGTTGAACTATTGCTTCTTTACAATCCATAGGCCTTGAAATCCAATATGTGTAAGAAAACACACATCCTGGCTCTTTATTTTTAATCCATAGAAAAGATTTTGCTTGAATAGATTCCAATAACCTTACTTCAGACTGCAAAATTGGTCCAAACACTTTCATATTCCTCTAGTACCACACTAACCAAGCAGTTACCAAAAAAATAAGGCCTCCTAGCTCCTTCAAGCAACCCCCACCTATTCCATACACCATCAACGCCGCCAACCCAAATATATCATTTGGCAAAACACTTTGTAAACCCCACCATCCCAAAACCTTTGTCCATACTAACCACACCCCTTCACACTCACAAAAAATATGATGTAACCTCTCCACCCCCTCATTACAAAACCCACAACTAACATCCCCACCTGTCAACACAATCCCTCTCTTACCCAAATTCTCTTTAGTGGCCAACCTATCCAAAAATAATCTCCACCCAAAAACACTCAACTTCAAAGGAACATATTTACTCCAAATAATCCGAGACCATTCCTCATCCAGAACACAAACTTTCGGTGACAGAAAATCATAAGCTGCCTTTACAGAATAGGTACCATCACTACTATGAATCCAATGCCAAGAATCTGCTTCCTCCATCCTCAACCTTACCCCATTAATCATTTCCCTAAACTATCCCTCCTCACCAACAGCCCTCCCTACACATCCACATCGCCATCTACAATCCCATACCCAATTCGCACCCCTCCAAAAGCCCATATCCTTCAACCGTCCCTCCTTAATAGTAGATAACACAAACAGCCTCGAGAATAAATCTTTCAAGGACTTGTCTCCCACCCATTTATCCCTCCAAAACTCTACACATCTTCCCTCACCAACCTTCCATTTAAAACCCTTAACATCTCCACTAACCTTTCAGACCCCCTACCCACACTCACAATATCCTTCCACACACGAGATTGTCAAAGATTCAAAAAAAGTTATATCCACCTCATTCCTCCCCCCATAATATTTCTCCCAAATCACAATCTTCCACAAACCATCCACTCCATCACCTAGTCTAAACCACCATTTACCCAGCAAAGCAAAATTTCTCCTCTCTAAATCAGCTACTCCTAAGCCCCCTCTTCCTTTCTCCACACACATACAATCCCAACTAACCCAAGAAAT